CAGCTTTGTTCCCAGGTGTTTTGGAGTCAGGATGCGTCTAAAAGTTGCAGAACTGGAGGACTGGAGTTTGAACCGTCTAATCATTTTTCAAAATTTCATTCAATTAAGATATTCATCAGAAGGCGATGTTTGATGACTCTAAATTATATTGAGCTTGTCCTATCTATTTCTGTAACTAGATAGTTACAGAAATAGATAGGTTAAGTTATAACACTATGTTATAACTTAAGTTTTCCTGTTCTGTTACCTCGGTTCTAGTCAGTGGAAGTTCTTAGCTTCTCAAATGCTTCTAAATAAAACGAGCAGATGATGGAAATTAACACTGAGCTGAGGCTTGGCTTCTATTCACACCCAACAAAAACCTATGAATTAAATGTGAACATGATTATCATTGTTTGTTTGTTTGTTTTTTTCCTTAATCAGCTCTACTCTGTGCAAAGTCAAAGATTATCTACTCAGTCACCAGGTCAAGACAGCCAGATTGCTCCTCCTAAATCATAGGTTTTAACTGTCAGCTAAATTCTTCTTTGCAACATCCCAGTATGGATTTTCTAATAGAAACTGAAGCATGATCCCCGAGTAGTTCACCTTCGTTGGTCAATCAAGGTGCTCTGTCCCTGACCCCTGAACTTTTCTTCTCATTTGTTTGCTTCAAAGCAAATTTCGTTCATGTTGTAAGAGACGTTTGTGTTTAATTCAGGATTAAGAGCTGTAAAGATTACTACCAAATTCTGGGGGTGGAAAAGTCAGCTTCTGAGGAGGACCTTAAGAAGGCCTACAGGAAGCTCGCCCTGAAATTTCACCCAGATAAAAATCACGCGCCTGGAGCTACAGAGGCTTTCAAGGGTAAGTTGCGTGTCTTCATGTCTTTTCTGTGTCGCTTCTGGGAGCTTGTACTCACAGCTCCTCTGTGTGTCTCTTTCAGCCATTGGCAACGCCTACGCTGTTCTAAGTAACGCTGAAAAACGAAGACAGTATGACCAGTATGGGGAGGAGCGAACACAACCAAGCAGACACAGACATCATCACGATTTTGAAGCAGACATTTCTCCTGAGGACCTTTTTAACATGTTCTTTGGTGGAGGCTTCCCAACAAGTGAGTGGAGGCAAAATTATATTAAAAACATGCAAGGGATGTACAGGGCTGCTGCTAAAACTCATTGTGTTCTTGGGCAGTGGGGTATTACAACTAAACAGCTCCAAAAAAAAAAAAAAAAAAACATTTTTGAACTTGTTTATTCCTCGTAAAAATTACTGGTTTGGTACTAGACGTTTCTCAGGACATAATAAGAACTTGCTTACACTCGCTAATAACACACGATGACAGCTCTAAGTGCAGGTGTTATGGCTGTGCTGCACAGTCAAACTCTACACCGCAATAAGCAGCCGGTGTTTTTAAGTTAAAAAGTTGTTTGTCTATTTGGACGCTCTTCCACGAAATATTTCAAAGTGAAATCAAGTCAAGTGAGACTTGTTTTCAAAGACTTAACAGTCTATTTTATTTCTTGTTTCAGTTGTGTGTAGGTTTTTATTTCAGTTTCATTTATTTATTTATTGTTGTTTTGTTTAGATCTTTTGGATATTAAAAATGTCTTTCAGTTCTAGTCTGATGTGCTTTAGAAATTATGGTTAGTTGAAATTGTCTCAAAATAGCAATGTTTTCGTCTACTTCAATAGTTTGTGGGAGAATTTAACGTCGAGCAAAATGTATCATGACAGGCCTATTCTGTTTTGCTACATATTAAAAATATAATGACTCTGGTTGGCCTGCAGTTCCGCTGTATGCAGAATAAATGTGCAGCGTGTTGTGCATATTCAACAAAATACTAAATATGCAATGCAGTATTTAACTCAAATCAGTATCCCAAAAGTTGCAGTGAAGTCCTGTAGATTTCTCTGAAGGAATATTTGTTATTCAGTCAGACGATGATTGTGTTTAACTGTATGTTTTTTTTGTTTGTTTGTTTTGTTTGTTTTCTTTTCAGGTAATGTCCATGTTTACAGGAATGGAAGAATGCATTTTGCACACCAGAATAGACAAGAAAGACGAGAACAGCAGAGAGATGTAAGCTGGATTTGCGATGCCTTACTAACGCCTGGTTTAAATAATTGTATACTTTGTGTCATTAAACGGCGTCTCCTTTTCGCTTTGAACAGGGCGGCTTCGCTCTGCTGGTCCAGCTCATGCCCATCTTAATTCTCATCGTCGTTTCTGCTCTCAGCCAGTTGATGGTCACGCAGCCTCCGTACAGCCTTAGCTATCGCCCGTAAGTGTGGCGGGGAGGAGGGGGTTGCGGTTACACCAGAAGTGTTTCGACGTCTGTCTGAACCTTCCCTGCTTTCTGTTTGTCAGATCAGCTGGACATATTCACAAAAGGCATACGTCACACCTAAAGGTGCCTTTCTATGTGGGGGACCGTTTCAATGAAGAATTTACAGGCAATAACCTGAGGACTATTGAAAGAAGTGTAGAAGAAGACTATATCTCTAACCTAAGAAACAACTGCTGGAAGGAGAAGCAGCAGAGTAAGTCTTTTACATTCTCCTGGTTAGCCTGTTTTACAAAACTGGTATGGATGGAATATGACCATATTGAAATACTTAATTTAAAGTCTGGACACTTGGTTTGTTAGACTGCTGACAGAGTGTTGTGTCTTTGACGCGCTGTTTCTGTCTTTCAGAGGAAGGCTTGCTGTATCGTGCTCGTTACTTTGGGGACTCAGAGTTGTACCAAAGGGCCCAGAGAATGGGGACCCCTAGCTGTTCCAGACTATCTGAGATTCAGGTCATACTGGATGGCTAGGAAACACTTGCACACACATGGGTATGCTCACTCAGATTGTTGTTTGTTTGTTTGTTTTTTTTTAAGCTTTTCATTTTAACCCACTTTCTTGTTGCTCAGATGCTTTTTCTTCTTTGATTTGCCTTTTCTTATTTTATCCATTCACCATAATTAACTGAAACATCTCAGTCAGCTTCTTTTTTTTTTTTTTTTTTTTTTTTTTTTTAACGTGTTAATGCTGCTGCAAGCACGAACTGACTCCTGATACTGAAGGGTCAGCTCTGTTTTTCGGAGGAAAAACGTCACCTGATACGTCACTCTCATGGATCTTGAGCAAGGGTCACATCTTTGCAAAACGGTTGATTGTTGGGTTTTGTTTTTTGTTCTGAAAAACAGACTTCTGACTTAAGTAATAAGTTTACAAACCTATAAAGCTTTAAAAGTAGCTTCTTGCTATTTGAAGGATAAAACACCAGATGTCTGCCTGTTAAAGCTGCCTCTGAATAAATAGAATATCATTGAAAATGTTATTTGTCTTGCAGTACAACTAAAAAAGTAAAACTTTAGATTCCTTAAACACATATATTGATGTATATCAAGTATTTATATCTGTTCATTTTGATAATTGTCTTACAGCAAGAGAAATTTTTTATTATTATTATTAAAACAAATAAAAAAGCTATTTTTATAAGCCTACATAATAAAGGTAATGACTGCTGCCTTGACTGTTGTCCCTTGACACGCTCCACATGGATTGCAAGCCTTGAAAGGTCATTGCTTGGGAACTGACCCTTTAATATTATCTCTAGGCATGTTCATAGAAAGCTAAGTGGAAGGAAAAAGTGTGGTAGAAAAAAAAAACGGCATTTTATTTATTTATTTTTTGTTTTTGTTTTTTTAGCTGTTTTGCCTATTTACTTCATTGCTGTTCTCACAAAATTCCAGATCAGTATTTTAAGGTAATCATCTAACTCTTCTTTGTGTGTCTGTTTTTATAGTTCGTCGGTACTTGAATCTAATGGGAAGAAATGAGCCTGAGCCCACTCTAATTGGAGCATATTTCTGCAGCAAACCAAGAGAATCTAAACAAGCCTTACACTCTGTGTGCAGAGGCGCCTCCTCAAGGGGGCTCCCTGCCACTCCATCCACTTCCTGTAGAGCTGCGAGAAGCTTCAAGCTGCCTGCTGACATTTTCTTCCTCTCCTGTCTCAACCAGTGGTGAGAGTCCGATGGGCGTCATGGCGGAAATTGAGCGTGCTGTTATCTGTTTGAATGATAAAGAAGGCTGCTGAGATTAGCTTCCTCTGTCCTGATCTTTTTATTTTTTGTTTTTCCTGGAGAAACCTGAAGGCCTTTCTTCACAGATAAGACAGTCTGAGCCACTCGTGAGGAAAAAAAAAACAGTTTTTGTCATTTTTATAGTTCTTACCAATGTAAATACTCATTTTACTTAACAGTGCAGGGGATGGTAGTCATTTACAAAACTGTTTTGTGAATTTGCTTGTAGCCTGTTGGATCATAACTAGTAACAATTGTTGCACAGATAAAAGGAAAGCATATTTATTAAATTAACAACCTAAAATTCTATACATTTATTTGAATAAAAGTTGTCCAATGATTGACCGGTGTCTTGTTTGTTTTTAAACACTCTTTTACAAAATCTGTATTTTTAGCGGGTCTTGTGCATTTTATTAAATTAGATTTTAAATATACTTTATTCATTCATTGGTTGTCAGTCTTAAATATTTGGTTTATAAAGTTAAATCATTGTTATTTTAGGTTCTAAGACTTGTGTGCTTAAATTCACCATAGCATGCCAGATTTATTTATGCAAATTTACATCATAATGTTCCTAGTCTCCCAAATGTAATCTTTGGGAGACTAAGATAAAGACATAAGTGTCTTATATCTTCAGTGTGACCAGAACTACAATGCTAGGTCCTATTTGTTTTCATTGATTTAGTTTTTCAATAAATAAAAAATACTCTGCAAAGTAAATATAGGGTACTAAGTGAGTTCTTAAATATAAAATGTGCTTTAGTCTTTACATTTGCAAAAACCCTTTCAAAATTATATACACTAAGTGCATTTTGAAGGCTTCTGATTATTCCACCTGAAGGAAAGGAACAAAGGAGACCAAGCATTGGAAATGCCCCATAATATAATGTAGTAAATCCAGAATTAAAATGGTGTGAACAAAGAAATGAAACAAGCATCACAGAGTAATAGAAAATAATTTATTATCTCACAATCTTTAAGATACAAAACAGTTTCAGGCAGGTAATATGTAATACTAGTAGTACATACATTCCCTTTAAAAAGTGGAAATTATATGAATTATATGAATGTGGATTCATATAAAAGAAAAAGGACTGGTGTTCAGACACCTGCAATCAGGTGAGTAGCTGCCATGAGATAGTTTGGGCCTTCGATTTACCACATATTACAACTGTTTTAGGACCTTGATGTCAGTGCAATTAAAGTTTTTTTTTTGTTTGTTTTTTAGGTGAATCTGCAGCAAAAGTTGATTAAAAACAGTTCAGTGTGTCTAGAAAGGCACATTGGGGCTCTTGGCTTAGCAGCATTCTTCCACCAGCAGCGCTCCTGAGCTGTACAGTTTCCTCTTGATGGCCCTGAAACTCCTGCTCAGCCTCAGGGTTTTGTGGTGCCTCGGAGACGTTGCAGACGGAGGCTTTCCGCCTTTGAAGAGCTTCTGCACCCTGCGCCACAGTCCTCCGGACTCGAGCCTCAGAACCAGGGTCACGTGGAAGGTCGGGACCAGGCCGGCGTCTACTGCTATTTGATCCACGGTGCACAACAGCCCCTGATCCCCCCTTTCCACGCACAGGTCGATCACGGCCCCCCTCAGTCCGCAGGGCTCGTTGACGGCCAGATGGAGCAGCTCTCGGCTGATGTTGTACATTAGACGGTCAGGTAGGATGAGTTTGGAGCAGCACAGGACGGGTGACCCGTTGTTAAGGCTTTGTGTGATTGTGCCCACCACCTCTGCAGCCAAGGTCTCCTCGAGGGGGTAACAGAAGAAGCTACTGTCGGACTCCGACAGGGATAGGTCCGCCACAGATCCTGGAACAAAGATAGAAATAGATTAGAGAAACTTTATTCTTACTGACCCCAAGGAGCAATTTGCTTTGCATTTAGATGCAGAATAGCTCCAAGTCTGAACTGAAATTTTTTAAAGATGCAAAAGGCTTTTATTTTTGCTGCTATTGTGTTTTTTCCAGAAAATAATAAAGAAAACTAAACACACTCACCGGTTTCACTCCTGCAGTACTGATCTGCTGAGGCCCTCTGATTGAGCCCCTTCAGCTCAGCCAGCTTCTGCAGCAGGTTGCTCCAGGACAGCCTCTGGGAGCTCCTACCCTCCGCTGGGGACGGAGGAAAACTGCCATCGAGAGATTGGTTGCAAGAAAAAGACATTTATACAACAAATGCCTTATTTCCAAAAGAACAAAGGGTGGGGGGGTGGGGTCAAAGTGCGGCGCTTTGATTGGACACAAGAGCAAAAACAAAAAAAGAAGTGCGGAGGTAGCTGTCACAGTTGGTCCTTCTCCTGCTCCTGAGCCGGATCAGCTGCAAATCACACTCTCTAACAATGGGGTGAAGCCTTAAATACCTACGCACGCTAGCCCCGCCCATCTGATTTCTCAGCCAATGAGGTTTTAGCTCACGTCCTCAGCGCAGTATCCTGCCTGGTTATCCCTTTGATGGGGTGAGACACACTCCCCCACGGCTGAGAGGCAAGCGACGACCCCCTCAAATCTCATAAGTTTAACTCTTAATCATTGTATAGGAGGACATTAATCCGTCCTAGAAGGCGAATTTACAGACGCTGCCTAGTGCAAATCTTGCAACACTGGAATCCTGTCAGCACAGAGCAGAACTAGAAAAACGCAGCTGATGAATCAATTGTGAATAGTTGCGCGAGGCACGTATTGCACGTAGAGAACGTCTTTTTGTTAATGGAAAAAAGGAGGGGGGCCCGCCTTTCTACTGACAAATGTTAACCTTAAAGAAGCTGAGCTGCACGTTTACAAACGGCTCTGAAGTAAACAAGGAGCCTTACGGTGAATCTACACTAAAGTCTAAGGCGACTGCAGGGATAGATTATTCCAGAATGTTCCAGAAAGTATTTCCAGAAGACAAGTAGATAGTGCAGTCTGCATGGCTATCTCATCCGGATGCATTGTTTTATTTTGGTTAAAACATAAATGAAAATATCTGAAAACATTTCATCTCAGAGAGCCTTTCTAATCCAAACAACCAAACTTTATGAGTATCTCCTCTGGTTCATGTCATTTAGCACGTACCTCCATTCAACCCCCCCATGCCCCCTCCAAGAAAATAAGACTCAGTCACTTCTGTTTGAATAGTTGTCTCCTCCACCTGTTTACATGGGGTTTCCCTTCTGCTTTCATGGGAATTGCTTAAATCTTTGCACACTTAATGCATTGCAGAAGAATGCTGTAAACATGTTTCTGCTCACTGATTTATTCCTGTGTTGCTCTTATGTTGTTTCAGAGCGGCAAACAGCTCTCTGTCTCAAACAAAGATAAACTTAGAAAATACAACATTGTTTTTGTTCTATGGTAGTTGAAAAACAACATGGTCCTCCTTTTTCTTATCGGTCAGAAATTTAGGTTGACCTCCAGCTCCTGAGATGCTTACCACTGTTTCAATGTTTGATCCATAATAGCTCTCATTGTGGTTCACTGGAGTCCTAACGTCTTAAAAAAAGGATCCAAAGTGTGGCCTGGGGGCCATTTGTGGCCCCTGGATTTATTTGGTCTCCGACTGCAATGCAAAAATGATGCAAATCTGGTCTCTCAGTACATGAGGTTGATGCAAGTAAGATTTTTTTGTGACACGGGGTGTGCATAAGACTGACATGACACTGTGATAAACACAACACGGTTCCTGTTATGAGCATAATGGAGTCTTTATGAATGTCTGTGACTGTTGTCATGAAGTGTCATTTGGTAAATAATGACGCTTTTAATGCAAAGTTGCTCTTAAAGTTGCATTGAAAGTCCATTAAAAGTGCCAGCTTTGCATTTAAGTGTCAGTATTTACAAAATAATACAAAGTTGGAACTTTTAATGAGATTTTAATGCAACATTTAAAGCAACTTTGCATTAAAAGTGACACCACACTTCATGACAACAGTCATAGACATTCATAAAGACTCATTCATGTTTGATCCTGTCAAATAAAATGTTAAAGATTTTTTAAATTTTAATTATGGTAAAATATTATATACAAATGTAAATGTTCTTTAAAGATTTTAAGAGGGGGAAGGGGTATTATGTAAAATTTACTTTTTGGACCTTTATATCGTGTTATAATGTTTTTCCCTTTATCAAAAACATACTCGGACTGTTGCCTTGGTTCTTTGATGCATATTTGAGGAATCTTCTGTGGTAGCCATTTGGGGTGCCTAAACGCTTGCTCCTCCTTGGACCTGCGGCCTCCAGTCGTACTTCCTCCTCATAGAGCACCCCATCTCCTGTGGATCCCTCCCACTAGAGGCAGAAGTAATTAGCAAACTCCTGGTGGAACTGTGCATCTACTGAGCTCATCAGACAAACTAATTTTCAGTCTAATGCCCCTAAAATCGGCTGCAAATGGCATAATGAAAAGCAGTGTTGTACTGAAGGAGGGTCAGAAAAGAGCAGCGGCCTCTTAAAGAGACAGAGGCGTAAAATTTGAAAGTCAAATTTCTTTTAAGTTATGTTTGATGCACGCAGGATTTTTATGCCAACTTGGTAACATAGTTAACTCACTGTTAATTGATTGGATTATAAGCTCAAAGAAAGTGTGACCAAAATACTTCTTTTTTGTTGAGGACAGACTGAATTGTTTTCTGCTTTGTTCAAGTGAGTTCAAGGAATTTGCAAACTAGAGACCTTTCTTCTAATAAGCCAGACAAGCAAATCTCTGTAGACATGTACACACACATTTCCTGATAATAAAAAAAATAAGGCAATTAAAAATTGCATGCATGTTTTATTGCAAAACTTGGAAAACAAAATCACAATAGCGTTATGTGATTATTATTATTATTATTATTATTAATTATCTCAGAAGCAACAATTTTGTAAAATAATACAAATTAAACACAGTGGAAGACATAAAACACTTGTGTTTTAAAACCAGCTTTCTTTATTATCTTAGATGGTATGGTGAAGTGGCAAATTTACCACAAGGTGGCGCTAAAGTGCTAGCGGATGACGCTTAGAGCACCTCGTTGTGACTACATGTGTTTTGATTTGAGTAGCCCAGATCATGATCAGGATATAACCCCGGTTTATCATCCAATTTATATGTTTAGTTAAGGTCAGACCTTGTTATCATTTTACACTTCTTATCTTTGTTTACGTTCATTCTGTTACGAGAGAGAGAAAAAAAATGTAAACGTGAAAAGGGAGAGACTGTTTTACAATTCATATTAGCTGTTGGTCTGGGCAGCCTGAGCTGATGTAATTTATGTGTGCTGGATCTCCGGCTAAATGGTTATGTATAAAGACAATTTCTACGAAACAGTTATTTACTCTAACCTCAGTGTAACAAAGAAATAAATGTAATTTTCGGACCACATGTCTGCTTCTTTTTCAACCTTTGTACTAAAATACCAGCATTAATTCAGATTTCCAGTGGTTTCCTGTGTCTTTTGATGGTTGTGAGCATAGTAGCATAGTAGCAATGATGGGGTTATTTCAACAAAGATGACAGTGAAGCTTTCCATCTCCTTGTCAAATACCTCATCTTGTAAGCATGTCATTTTTCTGTCATACGATTCTCTCATTTATCATCGGATCCTTCAATGCTGGATTCAAGACTCTGTAGCTAAATGAGTCTGCAACACCCGGAGCTGTAGCTCGAACAGAATTACATGTAGGTTTTGATTTATTGCTGGAGGAAGCAGAAAGAGAGCAGCTCTCTCAGGGGAGGCCAAACTCCGATGTGTGGCAATTTTTGCTGAGGTATGCTCTTCTTTATCGGAGCCCTAACATTTTTACATGCCATTTTCAAACGGGCTTTACTCGAAACATTAGCCCATTTCTAGATTAACATTCTCTTTTTCCTATATCACAATGATGAAAATTTTAAGCTATAAGCTCAAACTTAAAGATTTTCACAATACTATAACAGTTGTATTTTGAAAGTGCCAACATAAAATTTTTAACCACCTTATGTTTCGCCTTTTTCATTGCTTTCACAAATGAGTCAAACAAAATTACCACAAAAAAAACAAGCCCTCTTATGTTAAAGTAAAAAAGTTCTACAAAACAAAGACCCTTAAATAAAAACATATTACATAAAATAAACACTTGCATAAATACTTATCCCATTTAAAGTGATTGACCTAATTCAACAGACAATCCCAATGAGTGGAGTGGAGATCACCTGAGTGCAGTGACTGTGATTGTGGTACAAAGACAAGAAACAGCAAGAAGACAAAAGAATGCCCACAGCAAATCAGAGGAAACATGGTTGAAAAGCATAAATTAAGGGACAGAAACAAAAGATCTCCAAGGCACTGAACATGGAGTTCAGTTAAATCATCATAAAGAAATAGAAGCAATCTGGCACAGGTGTAAATCCACTTAGATTAGGCTGTCCTCACAAACTTAGTGACAGTGCAAGAAGGAGACCAGTGAGCGAGGCCACCGGGACACCGATGACTTCAGCAGCTGTTGCAAAGCCTTAAGGGAAAGCGACGATACTGTAGCCACTGTTGAACCTAACTCAGAGCGTTTTTTCATAGGGGTGACCACTAAAACATCTGATAGCTCATGGTAGCTTCAAATATTCATAGCTGAAGAGGAACAATCAATAAAAGTAAACGTTTAAGCAATGCAGACTTTATAAAAGAGTTTAAAAAAAGATATTAGAAGTCCTGTAGGCACTTTGCAAACTCATGTGGAGGACAAAGTGAACAAGAAGAAGATGTTCTGGTCTGATAAGACCTAAATAGATGTTTTTAGCTTCAATGCAACTTTATACGTTTAGGAAAACTGACCGTCTGAACTTACCCTCCCCATGGTCACGTATGATAGTGGCTGCATAATGCTGTGTAAATTATTTTTTTTCAGCCAAGACTCAGTGCTTAACACAGTGTTATGATGAGCCATTGTCTTTTCACTACAGCAACATCGAAACATCAATAGGAACATTAAATCAAAGGTTTGGTCACATTTTCTACCAGCGTGTCATCAAATTCCTATAGGAGATGGATTCGTAGTATTTGTACTGCCACTTCTCTGAACAAGTTTCATTAATAATACAAGCCAAAATCCTGTTGGCACATTGGCTGGAGTAGGAGTCCTTACATACCCTCTACTGGGTAACTAAACATCACTACCAAGAAAAGGAATCCTATAATAATTACAAAGTATTCACATATCTGTCTGTCCTTAAGTGAACTACTATCTCCCAGTTTAGAAATATTTGCATTATTCAGTAGTGGTGCAATGGTTCAGAACTTCTCAGGACTTAGTTGGCTGCTTTTCCGCCCCACTCTCTTCAGCAGCCCTGTGCAAATGTAGCAAAAACCAACACTGCATAAATTCATACTATTGTGTAATCAATGTCATATCAATTTAGAACATCTACTTATACTCATAGGAATTCAAACGGGTAAGTGTCTGGAAAAACACTTATCCAAGTCTAGTTCTTTGACAAACTAGACTGGTCAATCTGATTTTGTTGGGTCTTCAAAAATTTTAAGAGGAAAATTTCCTTCGCATTTATATGATTTATATGCAAACCTTTCAAGGTTCAAAGGGGGTGAGGATCCAAGTTTGCTCCTTCACGTCTGTCACCTCAACTTTGACTGGAAGCATCAGTAACATATTGCTTGGATATGAGAATCCTAGCAAACAGGCAGAAAAAAATAAGCTTGGTGAAGGTTTGGTGAACTGACTGATAACGGGGTTAGGATGGTCAGTCTCTCACTCTTCTGGAAATCAGAACCACTCCCAGAATGAACTGAGGTGAGCACAATACCAGGTATAAAATTCTCCTAGCCCCTTAACTGACCCAATCCTCAAGAAGAAGAAGAAGAAGAAGAAGAAGAACAGGAAGAAGAAGAAGAAGAAGAACAGGAGGAGGAAGAAGAAGACAATTAAAAAAAAACTCCAGAAATGTCTCAACAGCTCTTACAGAAATAGCAAAAACAAACATCAAAACTATCACTGCAGTAACAGTCATGCATGAGGATTAAAAATCATTGCAGGTTCACAAGATTAGATAAAAAAACTCCATTAATTTAAAATAAATAGATAAACCTACAGATCGTCTTAGAATAATTTCACTCTGAAGAGATAAGAGTTATTGTACCGCAGAAAGTGGAAAACCAGAGATAACACACTGACGCCTTGCTTCCTCTGGTATGGCACAGGTCGGAAAAATAGCTTACCGAACTGCACTGACTCGCACCGTACCACTCGGTGGCAACGAGGCGTATGCATGACCCGATGAGAACTTGGGTGATGAACTGTGGCACATTTTGAGGGACTGAGATAAGACACCTGAACTATCAGTGGTAAACAGATCACACTCAGTTCTGTTCACCAAGCTGCAGCCAGTTACTGTCAAACAAAATCTACACTGCAACACTTGTAGAGATTATTTTGTTTTGCTGGACATTATATAAAAGCCGTCCATGGGACTGATCCTTTAAAATTACAGTGTTTATAACAACGCTTTATGAATGAGATGAGAATTGTTGCCGTGCCCTCTGTTGTTCCTTTTCTGTTGCGAAAACATGACCAAACAAGGACTTCGTTTAACCCCCAAAAGTTTTTCTTTGACTGATTATTTTTAAATAAAATCTCTGGGAGCAAAGCAGGTTGCAGCTGCTGCAGAGGTAGCCTTAAATAGGTCAGAGGAAGACCACACGTTGACTTCCTTTCTAGAAAGGAAAGCTCCAAATAACTGCTATATGGTATCCAACATGAATATTTCATTCCCCACCTGACCATGTAGCATGACTAATGAGCATGCATGTGTAAGACTTTTACATCTGTTAAAGTGCCTGCACAAAGACAAGCTCAATTGAGTCCAGAAGGTAATCTTGTCATTGTTGCTTGTGCTGCATAAACATATCCATGCTTAGCTCAAACATCTTCTTCTCTCCTTATCTTTCCTCGAACTTGATCAGGTTGAGCCAAAAGATTAGATGACCCCTTGTTGGGCGCTTGCCCTCATTAGGACAGGCTCAAGACACTCCACTGGGGATCAAATGGCATCAGTTATTCCGGCGTTTCAGTAACAAGCTTGTCGTTTGGTGGGGCTCTCCAGGGACGAACACAGAGCGAGCTGACACGGTGCAGTAAGACCCATGGTGCAAGAAATCACTTTCAAAAGAATGCATCTGACCAAAGGCGTAAACCACAGTTCGAAACAAAATCTGCTGGTGTCGATGGTCAACTTCAAGTGGGCAGGTGTGAAACCTCATGCAAACTCTGGTGATGCAGGCCAAACAAGCTAGCTCTCATCCACCTGAAAACCTAAGCCTCAGTTCAATTGACAACGAACACCGGAGCTGTTCGCTTCGAAAGGAAATGCAAAGCAAACGGAGGAAGAGATGCGGACATGATATGTGATCTAACAATGTTTAAATCTTGGATGTCTTATAGTTCCTCCGTCTTTGCTGTCATCTCTGAAACTGCTTATACAACCCATCTACATAGAGTAATGTGCCTCTCTTGCTGACATCCAGTTTGATTCAATGTGAAAATAAACCCAACCAAGTGAAGATGGGAAGACTTTCGACATTCCTCGCCTAATTATACCCGAGTTCCCCGGACTATCTTAGTTTGAAAACATCCCAAGACTAAGAGAACCCAAAGAATACATCACAGACTTAAAGAGCAGAACGAATGTAGAGCTATCACAACAATGGAAGGGTTTAGATCAAAGCAGGAATGGACTAGTCAAAGTTTAGACCTAAATCTAATTAAGAGTATGTGGTAAGAATTGCATTGTGCTCTCCGCAGGCACCCCCCATCCTGTCTGAATGAGCTTCAGCAAGTTTGGAAAGAAGAGTGGGAATCTTTTTCTTGATTTGGATTTGCTGTAAACCTGCAGTTGTTATTGCAGAGAGTAGTAGTTCCACAATCTACAAAGAGAGCTATTAACAAACACTACACGTTTAAGTTTTTTTTTTTTGCAAAAAAAAAAAAAAAAAAAAAAAAGAAGAGCTAAATAAAAACGTGTAATAAGTTCAAAGTTATTTAATAGCTTGTAGTTCTTAAAGAAAGTGCGCATAAATCTAAAGTTTTCACGTCGAGAAATAACAAAAGGTGTCTCACAGCAGCCTGAGGGCGGACTCACTTTATTTACCACCATCAAACAGCTTCCCTTCCTCACTCCGTCTGCCTCCCTCCCATCTGCAGGAGCATCTTACAGGATAATCAGGTGGCGCTTTCCATCCAGCCTCAGCATCCGCCGCCTTCCAGAAGAGGAGAGCCGACAGACGGTGTTGTTTCGTGCGAGGAGGTGTCCTGTGTGCGTGGTTTTCTTTTCTCCCCTCCCTCCCACCTCTCCGGTTAAACATGGTGGAAATGTCGGATATGGTGTGCCTTCTCGCCCCGCTGCTGATGTTCGCGGGGTCCACCTTGCAGGCGGACGTGAAGAGCGTCCGAGAAGCGGAGAAATCCGGGAATTTCATGGAAGACGAGCAGTGGCTGTCCACCATTTCACAGTACAGCCGCAAGATCAAGCACTGGAATCGCTTCAGAGATGTAAGTGTCGAATGAATGCGGTGTGGATGCGCTGCCATGTTTACTCCCGTCTTTCACACAAACTTGGTTCTTTCTGCAGTTTTGCAGCCAGCCACACTCCTGGAATAAATGATTATTGAAGAGTTTGATTCAGCTACTGGCATTTTGATTTCTAATTGTTTTTGCTTGTTTGGAAGGGAAATGTTTTGAGAGAGGAGTATTTATAGCTTAAAAAAAAAAAAAAAAAACTTATCCCAGGGAAATCTGGATAGTCAAAGTCGAATGTTGTCAGAAAACTTATATGAGATATTATAAACACACACCATTCTGCCTCACTCATCCTCTCATTTCCTGCAATGTTTTTTTTTTCTTCCCCTAATAGGCAATTAAGTTGTTGTTTCTGCTTGGCAGTATGAGCCCAAACCATCATACTGCCCCTCACCGTGAAAGGTTCCCCCTCAGATGTGGCTCCAGGGATTTCACAAACAAGAGAATTTAGTAATTAATACATAGTGCACTGATTGATTGGTTGACGTGCACACATGCAGCTATTGAACGGACTGATCTGGGTTATTGGAATTGATTAAAGCCTGCAGGCTACGCCTGGTGATAAATTACTGTGTCTGTGGACGTATGGATGCAGCTCTGTGAAATGATTACTAATGATCCCCAACAGGATCTGGACAGTATATCGCAGCCGGATTAGGTTGCATATGACCGATGTTAATTTGGTTTTAATTGATCCTGAGAGACTGCATGCTGCACGTGAAATGTGTTATTATTGGATTAGAAATAGAAGTAGCAGAGGGTGCGTGAGGATATGTTTAGGCGTATTTTTATGCTAACAAGACCGTAGTGTCGGTTTAGCAAAAACCTCCTGAAAACCAAGACCTGGAACAAAGAGAGAGGTTAAGGTTTACTGTAATTAGCTAAAGATTAACGCGAGGAAGTAATGAAATTGTGCACATGGGAAGATTAAATTGGAATTACTGTGGGATTATGACTCATTGGGTGCCGATCTATATTTGAACAGTTTTGATCTGAAATGTTCGCCTCACCTGCAATGACCTTCTGAATTCAGCACATCTTGGTTGGTGGTTCACAGAGAAAATCAGCCATGAATCAACTAAAAGGCAGTCACAACTGGAACATGTTCACATTTCTTAAAAATTGATTTTGAAAAAAAAGTTTTTATGAGTTAATATCTGGCAGTAGATAACTCTGTATTTTATTTATTGTTTATTTTAAATTTCGGTCAGCTGGTCTAGGAGTCTAAGGCTAATGAGCAATTTGAGAAGAGCCACGACCAAAGTGGCTTTTTAAAACAAGTCCAAAATCAAAAATATCATAAAGCATGCTTTTTACTTTTTTTTTTTTTTTTTTTTTTTTTTTTTGTTATGTTATAAACCTTTAAGCTACTGTCACAACCACAAAAATGGACACAAAAAAGCCAAGAATTATTTATAGAAAATGAAGGTTGGACACTGTCCGGCACCAATAATCTTCCTGCTTGAAACATGTAAGGACAAAAGAACATGTAAGATGTTTCCAGTCAGATTAACTACCTAATTTGCAACAGGATCATGTTGCACTTGATTTTCATCATGAAACGGCGCAATATTTCTCAATATACTGAAAGAGGAGCGTCTCTGACATCATATGTCAGTTTGTCACTAACAGAAATGAGGAAGGTAAGTTGTTATTATGAGCTTCAATTAGATTGAAGAATTGAGGCTTAATGCTTCGATCTCAAAACTCTGTTTTAGATTCTTATTTTGAATTATAAAGGGAAGTGGTTTTTGAGTTGTTGCCCTATTGATAGAATTGGAAAAAATAAAAATAAAAAAACGTTTGACTGACTGACAATAAGTGCCATAACCCTAATCCTTTGTAAATTAATTTCTGTCATTGTGTTGGTTCTTAGGAAACATTGTTACAAGACAAGATAAGAACAGTTAGTAAATACTATACTAATATCTCAACTTGCTGGTTATCTACATCCAAGCTTCTTATAAACATTAGAGGGGTTTTTCACAATTTCTTCCTGATTCTGTATTGCATTTGATTCAGAGTTTGAGACAAATACAAAAATGTACAATTTTAATGTATCGGGACCAACTCAGAACTGGATAAGTATAAATACAACAAAATAGGGACTGATTGTATCTAAATTTGAATATTCCATACTGGTTAAAATATTTAACCAAACATTAAACATCAACATTTTCGACCATTTGTGGTTGAAAATGTCAGTGAATTGTACTTTTCCACAAACTTACAAAAAAGAAGGCAGTGTTAAAATAAATAAAATAATTACTTAGACCACAGAAATGTTTGCCTTTCACACCATTTATATTTATAACGAGGCAGTAATTCTGAACGGAAACACTTCTTTTCTTCAGACATGTTTCACACAGGACCCATACTGGTGGTGCACAGCCTCCTCCCTCCACTAGCTGTGCAAGTATCAGTGTCTGTGTAAATAACGGTCCAGTGCAAACATGGCAATGGTTTAAAGGCTCTTAAAATAGCTTTTGTATAAACCGAGATTGAGGCTGTTTTAAGACAGCAGACTGTTTTAAGGGGTTAGCTTCAGACCCCTGGTAAACTAATCTGGATTTACACTAAGCAAAGAAATCAGACCAGTTATCTACTGCAGGTATGACATTAACCGCTTATAAGGTTTAACTGAACCTCTATAACCAAATTTAACCCTTTAAAAACTTTCCTTTCACCATGAAGATGTCGGCCGCTCTGCTTCCGCATGCGTCTTGTGTTTCTCAACAACAATACAAGCAACCCTGACAACTGTCACTTTCGTGACCTGCCACACTTTCAACACGCTCATTCAGATGTTTACGGATATGTGATCGCCGCTAATACTTATGCAAAGCGTATAAACAGGATTTTGACGCCTGTGCAGTAAAGAGTGGTGGCGTCTCTGGTGATCATAAAGATAACAGGGAAAAACATCAGAGAAGCGAGGCGCTAAACCTCCTGCGGGAATCGCGGATGGAAACCACTTTGATTTCAGCTGGCTGCTGTAGCAACAGCTTCCCCCTGCACTGAGATGGAGGATAGATCCCTGGGAGTTTGATGACTCTATCCCCTTAACCAGCCTCGCTTCAGGGAGGGAACAAGAAAAAAAAAACTGTAGAAAAAAAAACAAAACATCCTTTTGGTTAAGTTTCTTGAAATCATTAAAACTGTGAACTTCCGCAGCTGAAATAACACGGCTTGTATCATTATTCTTAATGAGCAGAGCTTAGCAGTAAACGTAATGAACCTTTAATTGGCTGTGCTTCATCTTGGCCTTTGAGCTAAAAAAAAAAAAAAAAAGAATCAGAAAATAACTAGTTTAAGCTCACAGGCGTGCAAATTACTGCCAATGACACAAATATAATGAAATAAATTGATGCTGATGCACATATCCCTCTGAGATATTAGAGCTGGAATATTACAGATCCAAGTCAAGAAAGTAATAATCAAACAAGAGAAGCTCCGCCACTCCATCCTTTCACATGTATACACTCAGATAAACACAAACACACAGCACCGGCTGCAGACTGTGTGCAGGGCGCACTGTAAATATTTCATATTTATTCTTCCGCGGGATGTAAAAGCAGAATCGGGATAAGAGGCTCTTTCGCTTCAAGTAAAAAACAGCTCCCACGCTCCGATGCAATTTATTTCACAGGAAAGACAAGGCGATTAAATTTAACAGTAACAGTCAACAAATAATGAAGGGGGATACCTTCAATCCTTTAATCTGACAGGTGCACTCAACATTTCATTCCACTAATGCACTAAATCCTAAGGAAAAAAAGAAAAAAAAGAAAAGATAAACCGGGCAACAGGAAAGACGGCTGTGGGAAATGAATGCAAATCTACGACTTTATTCTATACACAATAACATCATTAGTGTCAGTTTGAATTTAAATAACAGTAACAGTGATGTATGGCCATTCATTCTGTCTTTTCAGCATTGCATGCCTGGAACCAAATGTTGTTTTATTTATTTACTGATGATGGCCACAAATTGTGTTTTTTTGTTGTTGTTTTTTTTCTTTGACACTCAGCACAGTTTTTCAGCGCAGTGCATTTAGGCTGCGAGATTTCTATTAGTCTTTCTAAATTAGAGGTGAGTTCTCTCACGGCTAGCGCAAGTCCCACAGTAAGCTTGAAAGATGATAAACTTTAAAAGTATTCATTTTCTTTACTGTGTTGGATACCTAAATACACATACATATGCATATACACATATATCACCTAGGCAACTCCATTGGTTTTCCATTGCTGTACGAGTCTTGTAAAAGTATTTAGAAAGAGAACAAATGCTGTCCAGGAGCAACAATCCATTCGAGATATATTTTCATTAGAAAAATGTTATACGTCCAGCCTTCCTGTTATCTGCTGAAATCTGATTCTCTTTTCTGGTTGCCTGATTGAGCAGCACGTATCCTCTGTGTACAACACAATCTCCTTTCCACGAGTTTGCAACAAGTTTTGTGTTTTCTCTCGCTTCATTTTTAAACAAGTTGGTACTTAAATTTATCTTTGAATCTTCTCTCAGTACCGACTTCCACACCACAGCTTTGTCGCTACGACAACCTGTTAGCATGAAGGTATGGTGCATTCACTGATTGGACAAAAGTGGACTTTTAAGCATTGGGACGTGTCAAGTGTGAAATAGGCCAATTCCTGTCATCATCCAATTTCTCAATACTTATAAAATAAAATAAAAATAGTTATTTTAAATTAAAAACATGTAATTGCAACTAACAAATCAAACCAAACATTCTTATTTTTCTGTAAACTTACAAGAAAAAGTTTACAGAAAAATGAAGGAACAAATGCAAAGGGAGATTGATCCACAACTGAGGGGCATCAAAACCAAATGCTGCCTCACCTTGTTTAGTTCTGGTCCTGGGAATACTGGACCAGAACTCAGGGTTCGCCATGGTTCATACCCAATCCAAGCAACTCAGAAATGTTTTTAAGCACATGACGGCTCAGTACCC